TTAAACGATATTTACTTGGTTACAAATAAACTTTGTAACGTCAACTGAGAATTTTCTACGTCAAAGGAAATTATTTGTCTTACATGAAGGATTAGAAGTCGTCACACTTGCCAATTCTGAAACTTAATCGTGATAGAATATTGAAGTCAACAGAAACCCGAATTTACCGAAGTCTCTCCCAAAACTTACTAAAGATTGAGCTAAATCTTGCTGCTACTTAATTGATTACGTGTTTCAGTCCACCTAATCAATAGTTGGGTAACAATATAAAAACTGATTCATATTAAGACTAAGTTTCTTAAGCATTTTATTTGTTATTTTTGAAAGGCCAGAGGCTTTATTGTCTGGTAAATGTTTTAATGTTGTTAACCATTCATCATAAGTTGGGATGTCCATGATATCAGCATAGCAATCATTGTCGATGGTCTCAATAAAGTCATAGTGACATTCCCAATTATTCCAATTTGGATTGAAGTTATGTAACTGAATAGTTGATACATCTCTATTTGTTAATCCAGCAATGTTTTGAAAATGAGAAGCCGTTTGCACTTTAATTTCATCAGGAATTAATTCTAAATATTGCTCTGGTGTGTTTGCATGAATCATGATTCAATCGAGAATAATTGCTTTTCTATTCCTTTTGAGACAAGAGTCAATTATTTTAGTAGGTGAGTTTTTAAAGTTGTTATTTCATTTTTTAATGAACTCTGAGATTCTTTCATTATTTTCAGTTCTAGAGATGATCTGTTGTTAGTTTGCATAGGTTTTATGATGTCAGATTTTAGTTCAGATAAATAATTTAGAGGATGGTTTGCTAGAAAATGATCAATCGAAGTTGTAGAAATAAAGTATTGGGAAGCTATCATTAGTATTGATTTATGTTCATCAAAAGTAAGAGGGAAAGGAGCGAGTGGCAAGGTGATTGAATTAGAAATTTATTAATCTTGTAATAATGTTTGTATATTTTTTAAATGTGTTTGTGTATTGAAGAGTTGAAAAAAATGAATAAAGAATTGTGGCGGGAGGATGTGGTTTGTTTAGATATATATTTTTTAGCAGAGGTAAATACTGTATTAACAAAGAAGTCCCAAGTAGCATTGAAAGAATTTTGGGATTCACTGAGATTGTGAGCTGTACAATTTCGGTACTTAGGATTAGTTTTAATGAAAAGAAAATTCTGCTTGGTAATTTTATGCTGTTTTGAATATGCGTTAGGCGATTGATTGAAAAAATTATTTTTATATAGCGATATAAAGAGGGTGGATGATCAGATAAGTATAAGAAAGATGAGTTATTTAGAATGTCAAAAGAAACAAGGTCATGTGCAAGAGAAGATAAAACGAAAATATAATCGATATGAGAAGAAAATGAGTTAGAAGTAGATGTAAAGGTAGCGGAAAAGGAAGGTGTGAAAGGAGAAATTGTATGAAGAAAGCCAAGATTGATAATATTATGTAGAAAACTTTGTAAAATCCTTTTGCATTTAGCCTTGTAATTTCTAGAAATGTCAATATTGAAGTCACCCATAAGGATTACGTGAAAATTATTTTTTTAGCTTTGAACTAAGAGATATATTAGTTTGTTTTAAATTTGTAGTCTATGTTTAAAAGATTTTTGTTATGATAACTTGCAGGGAGGTAGACTTGAATAATGCGTAACTTAAATTTGTTTTTAAATGGAAAATCTAAATGTAAAATTCGGTCGAAAAAAGAGCCTTGATTGAAAAGGTGTGAACAAAGATTATTTCTAATCAGAAGTCCAATCTCTTGACAATTTTGAAAATAATTTAAGCTGTGAAAGAAAAATTTGTAAGGCTTGTTATGAAGATTATTATTGAGAGATCTAGCTTGCAAATATATAAGATGGGTTTCACTAAGGCCAAGAATATCAAGTTTGAAATTAATAAAAAATTGATTGATTTGTTGAAGTCTATTTGAGGAAACACAGCTTTGGACGTTGTGTATAGCAATTAAAGTAAATTGGAATTGTTAATGATAGAGAAAAATTTGCATTTGTTATATTATTAATATTAGTAAAAATCATAGGGAACATTCCATTTAATTTTTTTTTTTTGGTGTACACTCATTGAAAAATATTACTCACTTGAATGATTAGGCTGATAGTGGCAATCAAATTTCTTATTTCATTCTTAATTTCATTTACGGATGATTCGATAACACCAATTTTCTGAAGATTGATTGAGGAATTTGCATTGAGGACAGATGATTCGTTAGAAATGATAGGTATTTGATTTTCTTGAGTCAGTAAAGGCGTAGTGTAGTGTCTTCAATCATAAAGTATTCATTATGTGAAGGAAAAACGTAATTCAGATCAGTAGCATGTTTAACGTCATACTTGATATTGTGCATGCATTCGAGACAGTTAAGTCTAAAACCTATATCATTTTCATTTTATTGGTATTCCATTATATTATTTTTTATGGAAATGATTTCATAGCTGATTGAGAGTAGCTTATTTTCGATGTTGTTCAATCTTTCCTGAACAACTTTCAGAGCATCAATAAGGTTATGGGTAACTGTGAAAGGTTATTTGTCATTATTCTTAGGAGAAGTATTTTTAAGAGCATTGATATATGGCGTGATACCTTTAAAATTATTATAGGTATTGTTATGTGGTGAATGGTAAGGCTCTAGTTTGAAACGATCATATAGCTGTCTGTAAGGATTTGCTGGTTTGCAGTTAGTACAATCTTGGAATTCGTGGTCATGAGCATTACAGCTGTGATAATGTTTATTTGATAGTTCCATTCAGTATAGTGTTTTTCCTTTAAATTTCTGAGATTACGCTACCGCAGCATCAAGGTCTTCTAGTGATGCAAAATTAATAAATGCGTATGGTCTAAGTCTGTATTGTTAATCATGTGATATAAAGCACGTTTTAGCTTTGATGTATGTAAGAAAATCTTTTAATTGTTGTTGATCAGTATTGAAAGGGAGATCAGTTAATTTCAGTTCAAATTGTTGTCTCAAAGTGATTTGTATGGGATCAAGATCAGTTGGTTCTGTTCTAAATGCAGTTTCAAGAAATTTAATGAACCAGAGATCATTATAGAAAGGCTTGATGATGTTAGTATTTTTAAAAACAATGAATGCGATTTGCTAGAAGCTTCAGATGATCATGAAGAATCTGGTAATCGCTTCATATCTGTAGAAAAAATTTCGTAGTACATCAGATTTGATAAATAAGGGGATGTCTAAAATCTTAAGGGTCCTTCCCTTTTTGGCATCTTGTTTGAGTTTTTTTGCTGCAGGATCAGTAATAGTAAATATAAGGTTATGTTGTGTTCTTGTACTTTTGTAATAGCATATGGGGCCTTTGCAATAGAAAGGGGGGAAACAGCCGGAAAAATCAAAAGTGAGTTAATGCTAAATTTGAACATATTTCAGTATAAAAATCATATTTGGCATATAAAGTAAAATTAATTTTTCCCGGCTGTTTCCCCCTTTTCTATTGCAAAGGCCCCATATGATTAATTTGTTTATTTTGATTAATTGAGTAAACATTATATATTTAAAAATTTTCGATTTAGAAAAAAAATATATATATACACAATATAAAAGAATAATAAAACAATATAAAAAAAATTTGATTTACAAGACACAGATTACGAAAAAAAATTCAATATAAACACGTTTATGATCTTAAACCAATTTTTTATATTTAATAAAGATTGATTCTTTATTAGAAGCTTTAAAAAAAAAAAAATTTAATCGAAATTTTAAATTTGTCATAAACATTTTATAATGTATATTCAGAAACAAAGCTTTTCATCGATCGAGGATTATTTTAAATCCAAAAAGCCCAAATTTATTGATTACGTAACTAATTGCGTTGACGTTTTAAAATAATTCATAACTAAACGAAATTTCACTTGTTTTTCAGCTGTAAAACTTTAATCAACATTCTAAAGCTCTTATCCTTACCTTTTTCAAATTTCAAATACTTCATTAATTCAAAATATGAAGTGCTTTAACTTTCAGGACAATTATATCTTTTGAACTTTTGAAGGAAGATCGTTTAAAGGTTATGACTACTACAATATTTATTATCTAAAACCAACCTAAAAGTATACATTTTCTTAGTAGTGCAGGTATCGTTAATTTGTTATATAATACTTTGCTTTTCCTTACGTCGAACACCAATTCGATTTTTGAGGACAAATTAAGTGTTCGATAATTTTTTGATTCATATTTAATCAATGCTTTCTAAAAATTATTTGTCACTTTATAGTTAAAGAGTTCCCAAGACAAATTACAACCTTAAAAATAATTTTATCTCAAATATTTAATTAAAAGTCTCACACATGTAACCATCACAATTGCTTTTCCCACGATTTCGGTATTTTATTGCGTAATTATAATGCTTGCGTAAATTGCACAAAATTTGTTCACGTTCCTAATCAAATGATAATCTTTAAGATTTATTATGTTCAATCAAACATGGAGTATATAAATTTTCCTAATTGAAATGTTCGGTGAATTATTATTATCACTCTTAAAAAAAAGACAACTACTCATAAGTTCATGAATCGGAGTATATACATTTCTTACAAAACAATTAATACTATTTGTTTTTATTTTTATTTTATTTTTTTGACAGGTTGAGTTTCTATTATTAGTTCTCGGATTCAATCATTAGGTATTATTAACTTCCTTGATATTATGTGATAATGCCGATATAACAAACCAAATGTGTCAAATATATCAAATCATTCTGATGTTTAAATTAATGAATATATAGATAATGCTTGTTAATATGAAATTTTGATCAAATTATATTATATTCTTAAAAAATGATTTCTTTTAAAAAACAAAAACCCACTGATTTGATCATCGAAATTTGGAACCATTTTAATAAAAAAATCGACCGATCACAAAAATATTTTTATAGTTATATTCAGATTAAAATAGAAGTACATACAAATATACAGTATATAAATATGCACATTCGGACCATTTTCAAACTTTCTCAATTTTACCATGAATCATTTTGGACTATCTTTGATATTTTTATTCATCTTAACTCAATTTATACAATTTGAGTTACTATATACTCAAACAACCAGTTCAATAAAATTTATAAAAAATTATCCAAGAGATATTATAATTAAGGATGATAAAGATGTAACTTTCAACCAAGAACCACCAGAGGATGGTAAAGCACCAGAGGATGAAGCACCAGATGATGATGAAGCACCAGATGATGATGAAGCACCAGAGGATGGTAAAGCACCAGAGGATGGTAAAGCACCAGAAGATGGTAAAGCACCAGAGGATGGTAAAGCAGCAACACCAGCAGACGGTAAAGCACCACTACCAGCAAACGGAAAAGCTCCAGCTACAGCAAAAAAACCTGCAGCATCTCAATCTCCAGTAATACCTAAAGCGGTGAAAAAAAATAATACGGGTATTATCGCTGGTTCAGTGGTTGGAGGAATAATTGGGGCTATTATTTTGATTATAATTTCTTTATTTGTGTTTAAAAAATATAAACAAAAAAATAACACAATATTAACTCCCGGAGATTGTGAAAATGTAATAATGCCAAACTCTGGATCAATTAAAGATAAAGAATTACCAACAGCTCCTAGTGAGATATTTATTTCACATGATCAAAAAATTGCAAATAATTTTATAGAAAATCATCAGAATTATAAAGATGAGCAAGTAGTTGTTATTTCTCCTCAACAAGAAGAACACATGATTCAACAACTTAGACAAGAGATTTCAAAAGATATAAAAGATATAAAAAATGAAATCGCTAATCAAAATAAACAAGATTATTCATCAAGTGAAAAAGCTTTATTAAATCAGCTAACAGAAGAAATACAAGAATTAAAACAACGTTTAAGTAAACAAAATGATTTAAATAATTCTAGAGAAAATATATTTAATATTGATGATGAAGTCATAAATAAACTAAGAGAAGAAGCTTTGCAAGAGATTAAGCAAGAAATCAAACAGAGTTTAAGAAATAAGGTTTTTACTTAATAATGAAAGTAACAATAAAAAAATTATTTATTCGTCAGAAATTATCAAAAAGTATTGACCGCAGTAATAATAATTTCGCCCGATCTGAAAATTTACATTACTTTACTGTAATTGCTTTTTATACCAGCTTTAGAACATCATATGGGTCATGGACTAGCAAAATGCCCCTCCGGTAAATTATTGCTTTGCAAGTTTTATTTTTAGAACAAAATGTGATATGTAATGTGATACAAATTTTTATATTTTATGTATAGTTAAGCATATTCAGCTTATATAAAATCAATAAAAAAATTTTTTTGGCAAAAGGCTCGGAGGCTAGTCCATGACCCATATGGTAATAAAAAAATTAGGTAAATTCTTAAAGCAAAATCTTGTTTCTTGCTTTAAACCAAATAATCGTTACTGGTATAATAGAGATTTGGTTATACTAGGAAACGGGGACCGTTGTAAAACATTGGCAAATAAGCCATATGACTATGATATACTTAAAATGTGATAGAATCACTGAAAACATATATAAAGGTAATAGAACCTTTTTAAATCGACTTCAAATTAGATAAATAAATGACTGGGTTGTTGTTATCCGACAAAGACAAATTTAAATCCTTTCCTGAAATTAGTATGCGCTTGAAGAAGGCAATGACTATATTACTGATTTAGCAACCGAAGAAGAATGATATATGCGTTCCCTAGCAATAAATAATTCAACTCCAAAGAATGGATAAATAAATAAAATAAAAAGAAATGTCAATATGTATAGTTATCGTGGAAAAAAAAAACACTTCCACTAAATTTCATTACGTTTTTACAATCGTTTGGTTGTTGTCTTATATAGATCAAATATTTCTTTATTAATGTTTAAATAAAAGAACAAATTTATCATATAAAAAATAAAATTCAGTTTTTTTTTTTATTATAAGTATGTCACTATCGCACGATGATTAATTTTTTTAATCAATTTTTTTATTATGTAAATTAATAGATTCAGATCTAACATTATATTACGAGTTCAATATTTATGAAAAATTGATGTCCGGAATAAGATCCACGTAAAAAAAAAACCTAAAGTAAAAATTAACACAATTATATGTAAACCATGAGAAATAGTATTTTTTACCTACTCTGCAAGTTTTACTTTGAACGACTTGAATGTCAATTTTAAATTAATTTATCCTTTGTTAGAAAAATACGGAATTTTTCATGTCCGGCTTAACATTTTCGGTGAAATTTATTTTTCATTAATCGTATAATTGACTAGACATTTATTTTATTGATTTTTAATTCACCTTTACATTCCTAAAAACATATAATATCCAGATACATTATGTTCAATTGCTAATATATTTAAATAAAAAAAATGCACAAACCTACGCTAGTTGCTTCATTGGATCAGAATATATAATTGCATGACCGACGACGTCAAAAACAATTAATACTATTGTTTTTTTTCTGAATTTCATACAGAGTGTAAATTATCTTTATCGAATTGTCTTTATCTCATTATTAATGAGCCACAGGGGACAGCCTGATTTATAGTTCGAAATGTTAAATAGAACTGACTATGTGTCAAATATATTTTCTATACATCAAATCATTCTTAATAAATAAGATAAATAATATTTAATATAAATTCTGGGAGAATTTCTTAAAAAAAAAATTTTTTCACATTTGTTTTTTTTTATTATTCATTTTCTTAAATACAAAATTAAATCGTACAAAATTTCATTGATGGAGATGTCAGGATTCATCTCCTTGATCTTTTGGAAGGTTCATGGGCAAACTAGCATAGGAATACTATCTAACTTAAGTATGGCTTTGGCTTTTTGGCCCCAAAAATTCGCTCATGATGTTCTGTGTGACCATCCTGGTAAGTAAAAAGCATCTAGTAATGTTCAAATCAGTGTTTAATGTTGATCAACGTTACATGAATATTAAAATAGAAATAATATAAAAAGCACGCACATCTCCACATATTATCCGCTTTTACAGAACAAACTTTCTCATTTTTTATCATCATGAACCAATTTGGTCTAACTTTAATATTTTTATTCATCTTGACTCAATTTATACAAATTGAATTATTATATGCTCAAGATCCAGATGATTCAGCACCACCAGCACCACCAAAGGCACCAGCACCAGCACCACCACCACCACCACCAGCCGGAACACCATCAACAGCAGGAGCAATAACACCATCAACAACGCCAACGATAGCAACTCCATCTCCATCTGCCAAAGCTAAAGCGGCATCTGGCAATGATAAAGCGGAAAAAAAAAATAATACAGCTTTAATCACTAGTTCAGTGGTAGGAGGAATAATTGGAGCTATTATTTTGATTATAATTTCTTTATTTGTATTTAAAAAATATAAACAAAAAATTAACACCATTTTAACTCCCGGAGATTATGAAAATGTAATGCCAATTTCTGGATCAGTTAAAGGTAAAGAATTACCAACCGCTCCTAGTGAGATATTTATTTCACATAATGATCAAAAAATTGCAAATAATTCTATAAGCGATTATCAGAATTACAAAGCTGAGCAAATTGTTATTTCTCCTCAACAAGAACAAAATATAATACAACAACTTAGACAAGAAATTTCAAAAGATATAAAAGTTGAAATTGCTAATCAAAATGCTCAGCTAAAAGAAGAAATACAAGAAATTAAACAAGTATTAAGGCAAAGTTTAAGAAAAGATAATCAGGGTGATTCATTAAATATCTCTAAAGAAAATAACATTGGTGATGAAGTAATAAATAAGCTAAGAGAAGAAGCTTTACAAGATATTAAACAAGAATTCAAAGATAGTTTAAGAAGTAAAGTTTTTACTTAATAATGAAAAGTAACTTGATATAATTATATGGCTGCATATGATTATTATACTTTGTCCGTGGAGTAATTTTTCCGGAGAGAGTTTATTTAAACTATGATCATGATATTACAATATAAGCTATTAATTATACTTAATAATATTAAATTATTTTATTTATTTATTATTATTATTATTTATTATTTATAAAAATATAATTATTGAAAGAATAAGTATAATCGCAAGTTGAATAATCTTTTTATATATTTGTATAAATTAAATGTGAATTGTCTAAAAACTTTCAAAATCAATATGCGTTTGATCGATTAATGATAACGAAAATTGCGCTAAATTACTCATTAAATTCTCGTTTATTGTTGTATTTTATATTGCAACTCATTTTTATTAAATTGATTAATAGCTGCCTTTGTGAATTAATAAGTGGCTAATTTTGCAATTATAAAAATATGGTTTTATGCGCCTCTTTAAAAATTGTATTTGCGAAAGATTGCTTTAAACAAGGAATAACTAATTTTATAGCAACTTCATTCTTATTGCCTGTATTTCTCTTTTCTATTTTAATTAAAAGTTTTTTAGTTTTATTTTATAATAAAAAATGCTTAAAAGATTTATTAATGATAAATTTTAATTATTGATTTTATAAAAATGCAACTTTGTTCTGATAAAAATTGTATTAGAAAAGAGGAAATCTGATAACCCATGAAGTTACTTTGGACGTTCTCAAGCATCTCCCTCAATGTGATTGGCTAGTGATTGAGATGACGCTCAATCAATTGCTTGATCACTCTCTTACTCGTTTTATCAATTTTTTTAATTATGCCTCAAAAAAGAAACCTAAAACAATTCTAGAACTTAACTCCAACTATCCATATCTTTCCTTTTCCAACCTAACAAATAATGTACCATTGCAATAACAACAAGATTCTGCTACGCAACTTTTAACGGATCCTTTAAATGAAACAGCAAGAAATCCGGTAAAAATTATTCTTTTATATTATATATGTAAGATAATAAACTCGAAGGTAGTGTAAAGATGGAATGGAAGTGAAAGAATATGCGTGAGCAATCTCTTTTTATACTCCATCAATGATATATTTTGGCCAATAAATGCAACTCTTAAAAAAAGATGGTTCGTAGTTCCAGTTTTTTTTGACTCAAATGATCGCACTTTATTTTTTTTAGTCAATCAGATCATTCAATAAACCATTGAGGGAGAACAAGTAATAATAATAATTAGATCAAATTTAACACATAATTGACTTTGATTTCTTTAACACCTCATTAGGTTATATTTTAAACGAACGTAAATTCTCAGGATCTAATTATACGCTTTATACATTTGCGATACCATATCCAGTTAGTGGAATATAATTTGTAATGACCAGTGAAACAATTATTTTTTATTATTACCTTTTTTTTGACGAAAAATTTGATTAATAAATTTCTCTCGTCGTTATCTCGTTGAAATTCAACTTTTTTTTAAAAAAAGACAAGTTACTCCTTATAAGTTCATGAATCGGAGTATATACATTTCTTACAAAACAATTAATGCTATTTATTTTTATTTTATTTTATTTTATTGACAAGTTGAGTTTCTATTAAGTTTCTCGGATTCAATCATTAGGTATTATTATCAATAAACATTTTTTTGACAAAAAGTTAAATTCCTTGATGTTATCAATGAACCCAAGTGGACAATGCCGATATAATTTAAATAGAACAGACCAAGTGTGTCAAATACATTTCAATTCATTTAAAACAATTTTTTTTTTTAAAAAAAAAAAAAAAAAAAAACATTGATTTAAAAATTTGAACACCAAAATTTGGTACCATTTGTTTAATAATAAAAAAAATCGACCGATCACAAAAAGATTTTTATCGTTACATACAGATTCAAATAGAAATACAAATATAAATAAATATGCACATTCGGACCATATTTTATACGTTTCAAACTTTCTCAATTTTATCATCATGAATCAATTTGGACTAACTTTAATATTTTTATTTATCTTAACTCAATTTATAAAAATTGAGTTATTATATGCTCAAAACACACGTTCAATAAAATTTATAAAAAATTATCCAAGAGAGATTATAATTAAGAATGATAAAAATGTAACTTTAAATCAAGGACCAGATGATGATGGTAAAGCACCAGCCGATGGTAAAGCACCAGCACCAGCACCAGCAGACGGTAAAGCACCTGCTGATGGTAAAGCACCAGAAGGTAAAGCACCAGCAGGTAAAGCACCACTACCAGCAAACGGAAAAGCTCCAGCTATAGCAAAAAAACCTGCAGCATCTCAATCTCCAGTAATACCTAAAGCGGTAGAAAAAAATAATATGGGTATTATCACTGGTTCAGTGGTTGGAAGAATAATTGGGGCTATTTTTTTGATTATAATTTCTTTATTTGTGTTTAATAAATATAAACAAAAAAATAACACTATATTAACTCCCAGAGATTATGAAAATGTAATAATGACAATCTCTGGATCAATTAAAGATAAAGAATTACCAACAGCTCCTAGTGAGATATTTATTTCACATAATGATCAAAAAATTGCAAATAATTCTATAGAAAATCATCAGAATTATAAAGATGAGCAAGTAGTTGTTATTTCACTTCAACAAGAAGAACATATGATTCAACAGCTTAGACAAGAGTTTTCAAAAGATATAAAAGATATAAAAATTGAAATCGCTAATCAGAATACTCGGCTAAAAGAAGAAATACAAGAAATTAAACAAGTATTAAGGGAAAGTTTAAGAAAAGGTGATAAAAAGGGTGATTCGTTAAATATCTCTAAAGAAAATAACATTGATGAAGAAGTCATAAATAAGCTAAGAGAAGAAGCTTTGCAAGATATTAAAGCAGAATTCAAAGACAGTTTAAGAAGTAAAGTTTTTACTTAATAATGAAAAGTGACCTAAACTATATTACAGTTAAAAAATATTTATTAAAAGATTTAAACTAGATTTCAAGACAATTTTTTTTTTTTATATAATGGGATTTATAATCATAATTTATTTATTCTAGTTGGAAATTTTTATTCTTTCGAATTTAAAAAAAAAAATATATAACCTCTCAAATAGAAAATCATTTAATCGTATTAATGTAGGTGTAAATTTTGTAACTTATAACGATAAGATTTCTTTCATAGATGAAATTAATTAATTTAGTTGTTATCTTGTATAATCTTAAATTACAGATTTCTTAATTTGAATATTTGATATTATAATGACGCATGGCGCAGCATTATTATTACGAAAATGAAATTAATAATTCAACCTTACAAAACAAAATTTTTTTTTTATTTATGAAAACAATTTGGTCAAATCTGTCCCAAGTACATAACACTAAAAAGGTGACGGAGATGAGATGTAATAAAAGCTAAAATGTTTCTGGAACCATTCATTATTTTGAGTGTGTATTATGTATTAAAACATTTATTACATTAAAACGTTTAAATTTAAACTTTCTTATCTGGTTAAAAATTTTAAATTTGAATTGTCTTTAGCTTTACTGTGAATTGCGTCACGTTCAAAATGAATTTTGATTAGACAGGAAATTAAAAAAAAATGAGTTATTGTTAAATCCTGATTTACAGTGTGTAAATTTAAACATTTAAATATTTTTCATTTAAAAAAAAAAAAGGTTTCATAATTTTCATTCGAAAATAAAAAATAAAATCTTAAACTTTTTATTCATAATTTAGCCTTCCGGCCATCTAGATTTAAATTTAAAGCTTTTTGTTCGCTTACACTTCATTTTTGTTCTAACGTTGATAAACAAATAAACAATAAATAAAAATCAAACATAAACACATTTAAATATAACAGAATTAAATGAGAAGATAATAGTATATACCCTTCCTTCCAAAAAAACGATGTTGGAACAAAAATGAACCAAAAAACACATTACTCGGTGCTGGGTAAATGTAACTAGCACGCCTCGGTGAAAAATTTGACCGTAAATTGTGGAAAGGAGTGACCCAACAACGATGACAAAACTCCTATACATTTAATAAAAAAAAAAAGAAAAAGAAATTACCAAGATAAATAATTTTAATTTTGAATAATTTCTATAAAATGAAAATTCACCTTTTCCCACAATAACTTCAAAAAAAAACAACAACTATATATTGTTGATCAAATGGTTATTTGATCTTAAAAAATGTTTAAAGATCAAATAACCATTGAATTTTGAATTCATTAAAATAATGAATTCACTTAGGAATTTAATATCTTAGGAATTTAATAGATATAATAATTATTTGAATAAAAGTATATCTAAAAAAAAAAGACGCATATGCTATATGCGTCTTTTTTTCTAATTTTGGATATGACAACATATAATAATTAATAATAAATTTAAATACAATGCAATGCAATGTATTTATGTTCTTTGGAGAACAAAAAAAGCTCATGTTTTTTCGGTTCTTTCCGAAAGAGAAACAAACTAATGAGCTTTTAAGTTTAAAGAATTTACTTTTTTTTATAAAAAAAAAAAAAAAAAAAAAAAAAAAAAAGAAAAAGAAAAAAAAAAGAGAAAAAAGAAAAAACAGAAAAAAAAAAAAGAAAAAAGAGGGCAAAAAGATGAATCTCACAATGTTTGAACTTATAAGTGATTGCCATAATCATATGATCCGTAATGTGATTAGCCGATTACAAAAATCGAACGATCTTTATAAGTCGTTCGATACCCGAATCTATTAATGAGTTATCGTTTATAAAAGGGCAAATGGCATCATCAAATAGTTGAGTTGCATTAAATTAAAAATCTTTTGCTAATGAAAAAAACCAATAAATAATATTCAAAAAATATCGCCAAGCGAAAAATCTCAATTTAATGAGTGCCACTACCAAAATGTAAATATGAAATACAATGATCCTTTTTTTTGCGATAAATTTCGATTTTGTTTATCGATTTACTGTGTGCCATGACGTTTATTAGTTTCTTTGTTGTTTTAAAGATCAACCCTCTTTTTTTTTATTTTAAGATTATATGGAGTAAATAAGATTCGCCACGCAAAATTAATAAAATCCATAAACATCAAATAATATATTTTCTAGAGAGTTTCTCCTTCTAACAACCAATTCGATAATTTCCATCCTATTTTATAAACCTTAGGTATTAAATACCAATATGCAATCACGAACAGAAAAAAATATCTCAAAGTATTTTTAGTAATTTTAATCTGCCACCATTCTCTTTTAGAATTTCTTTTATCGGCCCATTCAATTAATTCTTCACAAGGAGGATCATTATTATATACATGTACAGATTGAAGGTTGGGGAATGGTGCATAAAATAAAGGCGTGAACTTATCTTTTGTAAGATTAATACAATCTTCAATCGATATATGTGTAAGAAAAGAACATTTTGTAAGCGCTTGAAATGGAAAACATCCAAGAAAATCTACCGAATGGAATTCTATTTCTTTTAAAGAACTCGATTGTGTGCTTAAAGAATCAATAAAGAAATGTGTGTAATATCGATGATTCTGTAAAATGAATTTTTGTAGATTTGATTGTGCAGACACTAAGGTTGCTAAGTCTCTTGCTTGTTGTCTATTTATAAATAAACTTGCAGATTCTGGATTATGTGCAAAGTCCGTATGTATAATTTTCTATAAATAAATAATAAAAAGGTTAAAAATTTTTCTTACTTTAAAGAATGAAATTTTACAACAAAATAAAAAAAAATTTTTTTGTGATCTCTTACCAAAGAACGACAGGTATGTTCGAGAGCAGGTAAAAATCCATCTAACGCTAAAGCATCCCATTCTAACCTTAATTCAGTCACACCGGATAAGCAATTCCTTATATGTGATTCAGCCAATAAATTGAAATCAATCGTTTTTAAATTATCAAAATAATCATCATATAAAAGGTAATTTGGTACATTGTTCATTGCAAAGTATTTTATATTTGCACCTTGTGAAGAGAATAATTCTAATAAATATCGAATTATGAGTTCATTCCTTCTTGCGATTCGATATGGTTTACGATACTTTTTACACCATGAAAATATTGTTTTAAGGAATTTGTCAAAATTTAATTCCATCAAATATGATGCATACTCAAATGTTGATTTGTTATACTGTATCGGTATGCTGACTTCCGCTTGCCTTTGTAATAGTTGTCGTTTTTCTAAACCAAGACACGATAAATATGTTGTAATTGCGTCTATTCGAATTGTTTGAATTGGATAAAAAACTGCTGACCATAAGACTGGTACGGTACTTTCGCACCATTCTTTGTTAACTAATAAACAGGAATGTAAATCTTTAAGATGATTGTTTGGATAACATCCACGATAGCCATGAATTTCTCGAAAAACCTTTTCAAGAATTTTGGGTGTAAGTTTAGGACCCATCTTGCTATTTACGATGAAATTGAAAAAAATAAATAACGTGAGTTTTTGAGATCTTTTCCTAAGATTTTAGAAATTAAAATATATCAAAACTTACTGATTTCAAACCTGAAATGTTGAACGCCCAGGGGAAAAAAGTTGATGTGACACGAAAATTGTAATATGTATTTGCTATCGTCGAATTCGTTATTTTTAATATTATTAAAAGATGGATATAATTATAACGTAATGAAAGGGACGAATGATAAGAGGGATAAGAATATAAATAAAGATAAAAAATGAATGAGAAAGGGATGGCAGAGAATTCGAAGGTTTATATATTACGATTGCGTTAAAAATTATTAACAAGCTAGTGGATTGATTCAATGTAACAGAACGGTTTTTGATTAAGTTAATAACGTTAGTTGTGTCACAACAACAAGACTTTTGCGAAAAAAACAATAAATTAAGAATTATCGTTTTATCACAAAAAAAAAAAAGGTCCAGAGACGATTTGTTTAGGTTTGATAGATTTGATCATAAACAAATTTTAAAAGGTTTTCGTTTTTTTTTCGTTTTGTTGGTTTTAAGTTTAGTCGGTTGAAATGTTATAATAAATGATAGGTTTTTTTTATTAGTTTTTCCGATTAGTTAATTATTCTAAAAGTTAAAATCACATTCAAAGTGTAGAAGCGAAAGCTAAAAGAGTTTGTCTCTGGCTAGAAAAAAAAATTTTTTTTTCGAAAACAATTATTGAATGTGAAAAAAATAAATTGTGAGAGAGAAATCGTTGGGCGTTTATTTGTGATACAGAGATTTTTCCTCGGGTTTAGTTTTTGGTATTTAAACAATCTTTCCTATCACCAAAATTTTGTCACTCATTGCATGTCGTACATCATGATACATGTTCGTACTGCGGTAAGTGAGAAATTAATAATAAACTATTAAATGGAAATGAACCTATTTGGGTTCTATACATCCGAGTATGACCGATATGCCTACAATAAAAACAAACAATTTTAAAGAAATTACCTCAATAAGTATAAAAATTTGAAAGAAAGAAAGAAATTGAAATGATAGGTTAGAAGAAAAGACTATTGTCTCTAAAAGAGAATTAATTTTTTACGTTGTGTTCCGTTACGCTATGACATTCCGTCTCGAATCAGGTTCAAGACCTGATAAGAAGGATTGGTTCGTGCGAGTTTTCTTCTTGACATTTCTCCTATTTAAGGTTAACAAGATATATCATGATTTATATACATAATCAAATTAAACAAAGCATATAATTAGTTCTTTCAAAATCATAACAAAACGGGATTGATTCAGGTTTTAGTAAAATTAGGTAAAATTTTATCTATTTTCGAGCTAATCTCAAATTGGCTCGATCATCATTTGGTGGTGCATGAACAATGAAATATATAAAGAATTCAAGATTTCTTTCTTTTATTTTTTAGGTAAGAAAACAAAGTATGCAAAGTATAATAACCTGTTATTAAATGTTTATAAGGTCCATTTTATTTTATTTTTAATCGAGAAAAGTTGGATGATGTATGCGTGCTAATACTTTTGGTCCAATGTTGTTTGAACACGTTCATGTAGGTTCGAGTGCGCGCATAATGTACAGTATATAATAATGTATTTTGATAGAATATGTCAAAATTTTACATTGTTCTATCTTTGTGTGATACAATTAGATTCCAGAATCCCATGGAAAAACTATGATTTATATCTGTCCAACGTTATGATTTTTAATCAAAAATTTATAACGTTGGCAAATTTATGGATTCGCGTCCCAAAACCTGTACGATTTATGATTGGTACAAAATTGGTGTAACTTTCGAATTTCGAATTATCTTCGAGTTTTGAATCTGTTTAAAAGTTTGTCAGATATAGTGAGTTCTGAGGCGATGATTGATTAAAAGATATTATTTTTAATTTCAATAATTTGATACCGTATATTTTATTTAGTAAATTGAGATTCATGCTAAATCTGAAGTAACTTTTGCTTTTTTCCAACAGTTTCCTCATGTGAAATGAACGAAGGTTAAAATGCTTGCCATAAATTCATATTCTTTTTTTAAATTTATAAAATTTCAATCTTGTTCACGGTTCACGGAGTTTTTTTTTTTAAAAAAAAAAAAAAAAACGGTGAAAATTTTTTTAAATGCTAAATATAAAAATAAAAACATTTAAAAAATTGATGATTGCCGCTTCTGCGCCAAAGCAAATAATTTTTTAAAGTTGAACAATATTTTATGATAATATTGGTCGAACTATTAAATTATGAATGTCTAATTAAAGATTATTCATTAAAGATTATTCATTAAAGGGGAATAAATTATTTTTTATTCATTTAACGAAAATCAAAAATGCATATAGCATATAATGTCTCTTGGCTTATTTATAACTTCTTTAAAAATAATAATCTTGCCTTAGATATTCTTAAGAATAACCCGTAAAATAATTTAGAGTATTACTTGTCGAACTAATTGTAGTTTCCTCCCTTTTTAAACGATAATTCTTTTGGTCTGGGAATTGACGTATTAAACATGTCATTATTTTCGGGACTTAATGATTTTGATGTTTTACATATACAAGTGAATCCGATAATTACACCGACTATTATACCTGATGAAACTGGTGCATGAGGTGAAGCAGATTTATCATCATTGGGGATTGGTGATTTTCCTTCTGTTGCTTTTGCTGGTGATTTTTTACCTGGTGTTGGAGATTTTCCTGCTGGTGCTTTACCGTCGGCTGTTGCTTTATCGTTTTCTGGTGTATTTCATCCGTCGTTTGGTGCTGCTTTTGCGAGTTTTTTTGTGGTGGTATTTATGGATATTCTGCCGGATCCTTTCCAGCTTCTGGTTTCTTTGTTGGTTCCTCCAGCTCCTTAGCAGATTCCCTATTGATTTAAAGACACTTCCTTATCCTCTTTAAATGTAAATCTCTTCGATAATCATAAACCTTTTTGAAGCATTAATTATCAGAGCATAAGATTCAATTGAATCAAATACGAATTTTTTTTTGTTGAAAACAATGATATCATGTTACTAATTAATACATATTACTATTTTCATTCGATCATTCTATGACATGATTTTCACACAAAAAAAAAAAACTTTTTTTCATTCGAGATCATTTTACATAAGCATCTCCGAAAAACTTCGATCACATGGCTTTATTTATTTATCATTATTACTTGGGCATCTTTATTTGTCACCACAATTGATTGCCCACTGGGAGGTTCACGACGCCATTTTTTCGAATCCGGCTGATCACAATCCAACGTATAGCAAAATTGCGTTTAAAAGATCACAAAGTACGGGAAGGTTAAAATTGAGTAAATTTCCCATAATTGAATCTATTTATAAATTTTTGCCACATTAACGTATTTAGAGAGATAATATTCAAAAGCCACGCACAGCCACGAATATTTCTTCATTAAAATTATTCCATTAAGCTAATATGGAAATATAATCCCAACAAATGATCGTAAACATTAAGCCACCTTGTCAATAATTTATTGATCAATGCGATCACATAAAATCATTAAAATTGATAAGCAAACACAGCCATTGCTCAACATCGTGTGTGATCATGCCATAATTATTTTAATTGATAAAAAAAAAGGCTAAAGCCACTTAAGCACATTGACGGATAAGATTCAAGATTGTTGTTTGGTCATGATTTCACGTTAAAACTTGAAAAACAACCGGGATGTGATCTTTGATCGATTGCATTTTTTGATTTTATACAACAATCATCTTTCACTTTGAAACATAGCCCAAGTTCTAAGCCTTGTTCGTGATCTCGAGAAAATTTATCAAAAGCATTTTTTAAAGAACTTATAAAGTAGCATTTCCCACATCTGAATGTTAAAAGTTTTTACCCTTTCATTGAATCGTTAAATTTGTAAATAGTTACCCATTGTATGTGAAAAAAAGAAAATGATGAATACATACGGGTTATTTATTATTATAGCACTAGCTATTACCTTTTATTTAGCTACTTTGTCCAACGGATTATTATCAACTAATGATGAGTTAAACGATCGTATGTATCATTAATTAATTTGCAGCATGCAAAATGATCAAAGTTTCTTTATTTATTTACGAAAAATTTCCATGAATAGTAATGAAGCGTCAACAAGACACCCATTATAAATATCCTGGTGGCTTATATTCAAAAGAAAATTACTATAAGGATAAAAAGAAGAAAGAGAAGGATTATAAATAATAATGAGAAACAAAGGAAACGAAATGATGAAACGACCGGTTTGTATTTTTTTTTTTTTTTTTTTTTTAAGCAAACTTTTTTGTTATTTTTGTTATGTAAATAGTACCTAATCGACTATCATTATAGTGAACGTACGGTTTCAAATATTCTATCTAATTATTAATCTTTAATTACTTTAATTTATTCTTAATATACCGTTGTACATTTTAAATTTCGACTTTATCGTAAAATTTTTTTTATTTTTTTTTATTTTTTTTCGTATACGTTATACTCGTCATAAACGTTTCGATTGATTTTAATAACCTATTTACGTAATCAAAATTCGGTTCGTTATTATTTGCCTGGTCGTTATTCGAATTCCGTCGCATTTTTTAAATTTTTCGTACAAGATTTATTCGTATTTTATAATCTTTCCTTGCCCATTTATTTCCTTTTTTATTTAAAATTTTTTTATTCTTTTTTTTTTTATTTTATTTTATTTTAATTTCTTTGTTAATTTCCTTACTTGTATATACTTTTTAAAAATACAATTCCTTTAGTTCTTTATCAAAAGTTCTCTTTTGTTCTTGAATCCAAAAGGTTTAATTCCCAAGTTCTAAAAAATTCTCTTTCTTTGTTCTCTTTTTTTTTTTTTTTTAGCGGTTTGCTTAGTTTTTCTCTTAATACAATGTCCATTGTGTTCTTTTTGTTCTTAATTAAAATCTCTTTGCTCAATGAATGAATTCCTTTTATTTTCCTTTTTTTTTGGTTGATTGGTATTATTAAAATTATCTTGCTGATTAATTTTTTGTTACTGGATTTTTATATTTTTAGTGCGGATGTTTTATTTATCTAGATGTTTTATTTTATATATTTATTATTCCTTTAATAAAAAAATTGCTTCTTTTTTTAAAAAAAAAAAAAAAAAATGAATGATTTGGTATCGTCAAACCAATTTAAATTAACATGCACTAAAATATGAATCATATAAACGAAACGTTCCCAAAACCCAAAATCAATCCTAATCCATATTAAACTAGCTTGACATCATCACAATTAATTAAAGTGAGACCAAAATAATAAAATAAAATAAAAATAAAAAAAGGAAAAAAAAAAAAACTGTGTAAAGTTTTTTAACTCTGATATCAACAAACATGATCTTGATTTTAGATTATTTTTTTTTTGAGATCAGATATCATAGCAAAATAATACAAGCTTGCATAAATTGATTTGACAGATGATTGTTTTAAATTTAGGACAAAAAAAAAAAAAACAAATTTGCATAAAAAAAAATTAAACCTTATTTTCAACAAATGAAATGCACATCGTGCAGCACTTGGCATGCTGACACATAATTTTCATAATAAAAAAAGACCTTTCATTTAAAGATATTCCAACATTTGCCACATTCCCTATTTAGACTTTATATATAATGGGGATTTTTAACGATCAAAAATTTTACCGTATCGATTTTCTCAATGAGGTACGCCTTCATCTTCAGCATCATAACTTGCATTCTTAATTTAAAAAAAAAATGGTACGATATTTTTTTTTTCCCAAACATTGATTTGCAATGAAGATCAAAAATACGTTGTCCAATAATTGAATCCCAACGTGACCTAGATAACCAAAATCAGAATTTCTAGGTTTGTTAATGCAATTTCAAAATCATTTACCATTGAGAAGTTTAGATTATACTTGAATAATAGGATAAAATGAATTCCTCAACAATCACGCCAATTTTTCCTTGAATAGGTAACAAATCGAATAAACTGAAACTACTTTTATGGGCAGTTGTATAAGTAATATCTTACCATAAATAGTGAGGACCACTTCTTTTCACGCGAATATGTAAAATTTCTTTCGAGAAAGACAAAAAAAAAATCTTATGATTGATGATCTCTGTTTTTTTTTTTTCTTCTAATTAACATTTCCATTTAATTTGAAGTTTAACCGGTCAAAAAAAAAGTGATTGAATAAATACCCTGTAAAATCCTTTTTTTCCTTTTTTCTTTTGCCTTCAGTCCATTGTAAGCAAAAAGTCCAAGCACAGAAAAAAAATTTTTCCACAAATTAAAATTAAGACTTTTTCTAAATCCATTTTATGAAAATGACCTCATCACCATCATCATCAACGATTAAGACTTCACGTGCTTGTGTCTTTATTGATTCTAGTGATCCCAAGATTCGTAACCAGTTGATGATGAATACCATTTCTCATCCGTTTATAAAACCAACATTCCCTCCTATTATTAACTTGCGAGAATTAATTTCAAAGCAAGTTTCCGCAGATCCTAGTAAAAATAATTCGGGTCGTGCCCCGAATGCCTTCATCATATATCGAAAGATATTTGTGGAGACCGCAAGAAAGGATGGTTATCAATTACCAATGACTGTCGTATCTTTAATGGCCTCACAATCTTGGGAATTGGAACCAGAAATTGTTAAAGAAGAGTATAAGAGACTGGCAAAGGAAGCAAATATTATTAGGAATGAAATCATTCCTAAATCTAGTCGTCGAAGGAAAAGGGAAAAATGGAATATTGTTTCTTTTCCAAATAATACTACTTGCAAAGATCCTGTCGTTAAATCAAAGTCATTGAACAAAAAGAAACAATTGACGGTTAACAAAATTAAAAAAGTTGAAATCCTTTCACCTTCATCTTCACCAGTCTCTCCATTTGAATTTGAGAGTCCAAAGATTACCTTTGACATCCCTTTCGATATTGTCTCTCCTATTATCGATCGATTTCTTGATTCCGATTCGTTACCTGACGATCCCCCCCAAAATGATTCTCCCAACTCAAGCGATTCAAATAATAACAATAACCTTACTACCGAATTTAACAATGAATCAATAATCGGAGAACAAAACGTGGACAATTCAACAGATTCGCTTGTCATTCAACGTGATAATAATATCGGTTGTCCTTATAAGGAATTTGAGTTTGATTCTCAAGGATTCTCATCGTTTAATGATAATGATACAATTTCCTATCCCTCCTTTTGGTTCGAGTTTTAAATTTTTCTTTTTTTTTTCAACTAAAAAAAAAAACAAAAAAAAAAAGTCAATATATTTTAATAATAATGTAAAAATCCCTTATTCACAGCATTTTTATTTATTTATTTTTTAAAAAAAAAACAAATTATAAATTATAATCATAATAATTTAGTTTATTAAGTATTAATTAGATCAATTCTTTTGCTCTACACATATGCTTCAAAGACAATCTTTAAGCTCTTTATAATTTATCTTCAACATATTACATGATATATATATATATATTTATGAATTCATTAAATAAGCAAGTCGATTTTGTACGTTTTTTTATGACAGTCAAAACAGTTCCAAGTTCTTTTATGTAATAATTATGATTTTGTTTTATGATTTTTAAGTTAAAGCTTTTAAGGTTAATTAATTAAATGTATTTCTTTCGAAACCCTGGTCGAAAGAACGAATTGAAAATTCCTTTTATATTAATTTTTTTAAGAATTTCTCGATCGAAAAAGTATTGAACACCCTTTGATCAATTTCTTTGCTTAGGATAAAGAAAAAAAGATCAAAATACATCCAAGCAAAATTTCAAGAGGCGCAGTACAAAATGATCAATGATCGCTTTTATTTAAAAAGAGCGTGAAAATCCACGAATTTCAAAGTTCGGCGTTCCATTACATCACGTTTTATACTGCTTTTTGCTAGTTCCATACAAGAACGATAATTCTTTTCATAATTATGATGTAATTACAATTCTCTGTGTAGATCGTTTAAAAATGTATTTATAAATATTTATCTAACAGAATTAAAAAGAAAAAAAAAAATGCCACCAGCCCCGTCTCCTAAAGATGCTCTTCAAGAAATGTCAATCACAAAATATACTGCGGATTCAATCATGCATATTCCCGAAAAGATTTCGGATTTATTAGTGAAATTAGATACTACGGAAATTAGATCGAATGAAGACTTGCGTCCTTTAGAATTATTACAACGGGTTACGAATTATTTAGCCGCTTCAATGATCTTTTTGCAAAACAACGCTTTGTTAGAGAGACCTTTGAGCAAAGATGACATTAAAGGGAGATTATTGGGTCATTGGGGTGCGTAAGATTTTAACTTGGAAAATTTATGAAACGTTCGGAAAATTAATTTACATTAAAACTTTTAGGAACGTGTCCCGGAATTAATTTTATTTACGCTCATTGTAATCATCTAATAAAGAAATATTCCATTCAAATGTTTCTTGTAACCGGTCCAGGACATGGAGCTCCTGCAAATTTAGCCAATCTATTTGTTGAAGGATCTCTGGCTAAATTTTACTGCCAATATAGTGTTAATAAGGATGGTTTAAATAAATTGATTAATGGTTTCAGTTGGCCACATGGCTTTCCAAGTCATGTCAATTCCGAAGTTCCAGGTCAAATTCATGAAGGTGAATTATGAATTTGCAATCGTTTTGTTTTTTTTTAAAAAAAAAATTTTTTATGAATGAATTTTTTTTTAAATTAAAAATGGAACTTTTTATTATCAAAGGTGGTGAGCTTGGATACGCTCTTGCGGTAAGTTTTGGTGCAATTATGGATAACCCGGATTTGATTGTCACGTGTATTGTTGGCGATGGAGAAGCTGAAACGGGTCCGACGGCAGCAGCTTGGCATTCTTATAAATATATTGATCCTGCTGAAAGTGGTGCGGTAATTCCAATCTTACATGATAATGGATTCAAGATTTCAGAAGAGACAATTTATGGCGTTATGGAGTACGTGCTTTACAAAACCTTTTATTTACAATATCATAAGATGCTTTTCAGTTACTGACTTTTTTTTTTTTTAAAAAAAAAATAATAGTGATACCGATATCGCCACATTATTCACGTACGTATAATTTCACATCGTTGAGGTATGATGTAACAAAATCTAATTGAATTTTTTATTGTTTCGAACGTATTTAGTGGGTTCGGATACCAAGTTTGTATTGTGTCAAATTTGAAAGATATTAATGCGGAAATGGCTGCTTCAATGGAATGGGCATGCCATGAAATTCGAAGGATTCAATTCTGTGCCAGGTCCGGAAATCCAATTTTCAAACCAAGGTGGCCGATGATTGTTCTTCGAACTCCAAAAGGTTGGACGGGTCCTAAGGAGTTACATGGTACACCTATTGAAGGTTCATTCAAATCTCATCAAGTACCATTACCACGTGCAAAAGTTGATGATGATGAATTTCATTTATTGGAATCCTGGTTAAAGAGTTATAATTTTCATGAATTATTTGATTTGTCTGAGGATTCATTTAAAAAAGAAGTGCTTGAAGCTTTGCCAAAAGAAGAATTGCGTATGGGAAGTAGGAAAGAAACTTACGCCGCGTATAAACCTTTAAATTTACCGGATTGGAAAGCATTCACGGTAGAAAAAGGTGCAAACGAAAGTTGTATGAAATCTGTTGGTACTTATTGTTCTAAAGTCATTGAAATGTAAGTTAATCGGATCCGTTTTGCCAAAATTTTCCTTGTTTAATTTATATTAATGAACTTTTCTAATCTTGTAAAGGAACCCAAAGAGTTTCAGAATTTTTTCTCCAGACGGTATTTTGATATTTTTTTTTATTTATTTTCTTAATTGGATATATATATTTATAACGTGTTTTTGTAAATATTATGTATTATTTAGAACTCGTTTCAAATAAATTGGATGCCATTTTCCAAGTCACCAATCGAGACTTTCAATGGGCTTCTCAGACCAGCAATAAAGGAGGTCGTGTAATTGAAATTCTGTCCGAGCATACATGTCAAGGATGGATGCAAGGATACACTTTAACAGGTTGGCATTTTTATTAATTGCAATTATATATTACAATACTTACAATAATACCTAACGAAATCGTGAATTGAATTGTTATAGGACGCGTCGGATTATTTCCATCTTATGAAACATTTTTGGGAATTATCACTACAATGATGATTCAATATGCAAAATTCCTTAAGGTAGGTATGGAGACTTCTTGGAGACTACCAATTGGATCTTTGAATTATATTGAAACTTCAACCCTATGGCGACAAGAGCACAATGGGTTTTCTCACCAAAATCCATCATTTCTCAACAACCTTATCAATATGAAGTGTAATTAATTATCGTTTTTTATTTCTCATTTTATTCAAATTAAATTTGAAAAATTCTAAACATAATTTTTTTGGGGGGATAGACGCGTATGTTCGAATTTATTTGCCGGCAGATGCAAATTGTTTCCTGAGTACAATAGCACATTGTTTAAGAGCCGAAAATTATATTAATTTGATGATTGGAAGTAAGAATCCAATTCCGGTTTGGCTTTCACCTGAAGAGGCAGAGAGACATTGCATAGCAGGAGCGTCGGTATGGAAATTTGCTTCAACAGAAGATGGTCTTGATCCTGATGTTGTTTTGGTTGGATGTGGTGCAGAAGTCACATTTGAAGTTATTGCAGCCGCAAGTTTATTAAAACAAGATGTCCCAGAATTACGCGTTCGAGTAGTCAACGTGACAGATTTAATGATTTTACCGGGGCATAGAACTCATCCACATTCCCTGGATAATGGCGCTTTTATTAGTTTATTTACTAACGACAAGCCAATTATATTTAATTTTCATGGATATCCAAGTGTAATTAAAGCACTTTTATTTGACAGACCTAATCCACAACGTATAAATGTGGTATGTATGCATAAATTTGCTTCAATTTGTTTCAATTTGCTTCAATTTAATTAATGATTTCTTTTATTTAAAGTTGGGGTATCAAGAAGAAGGCACTACCACAACCCCTTTCAGGGTAAATCTTCTGTGATTAATTTTTGTATTGACCAACCTTTTCTCTAACACTTCTTATGATTTTTAGATGTTAACTGTTAACGGAACCAGCAGATTTGATGTTGCGATAGCAGCTATTCATGATGCAGCCAAGTTTCGTCCAAAATTATCAATCAGGGCACATGAATTAATTTCATTATATAAACACCAAATTCGGGAACATGATAAATATATTGCGAAATATGGAAAAGATCCTGAACATCTCATGGATATACCAAAATTTTAGATCTTTGATTATGTATAATGATTTATCATTTATATGAAGTATTTAACTAAAAAAAAATATTTTAAAACTAGTTTCATTAGTTGTTTTCCCCCCCCCAAAAAAAAAAAATTTCGCTTTGTAATATATTATTTATCATTAAATTTATAATTTTCTTTACTCGAGAATGATAGCAAACGCGCTGATACATTTGAAATTTAAAGTGTCGTAATTAATCTAGACGAGGTTTCATTAATATTCAGAAGTGACGCTTCATGTTTCTGTGACCTTTACCACGACAGCCGCATCGATATTCCGCCGTTTTGCAACGTAAATTTTTTTTAAAGATTCTGTGTTTGAAATATAGTTTATATTTAATTTATATTTTTATTACCAAGTTTCTAATTTATTTTCAAAGACTTGATGTGCCAATGAAGATCAACAATTACATAACATGCTTTGTTTCGACTCGCTTTTAGCAGAGTGCCTTCTCTATACCTTTGATCTTATCGCGTTTAAGTTTTGGGGTTCCATAATGGCAATGATTTTTAAGTTGTGAACGTTGCACCCTTTTTTTTGATGAATTTAATTCGCTAACAGGCTTATTTATATATCTTTAAAGTCAATTTTGATGAATGCGTATTAGTGAAAGGTTTTATATTTATATAACCAGATACCAAATATGGTAAGTGGTAAGCATGATCTGACGCGTCGAAATTTCGGTGCGCTCAATAATTTCTTTTGAAAAACACGAAACACAACACATGTGAGATGATATAAAAACCAGACAAAATAATGAGTGTTTGGAGTTCAATTATATTTTTAAAAATCGATCGTTTTATCTCTCTTTAGATTTGTTATTGAAGGTTTAACTAAGAAAGATCCACTTTCAATTAAGTTGAGATACCCCTATTTTAAGTGATAAAGAGGAGAATCATAGAAAAGAATTAAGATCTTTTGACTGTCAGCAACTTTTTTAAACCATATTTGAGATTTCAATTGAAAATTATGAATTTATTTGAGTAAAAAAATTCGGTTTTTGGCATAAGAAAGATGCCACTATTTATTTTAAGGCTTTTTATTCCATGCATAATATAAAATAATTCATAACAAGAAAGTTCTGTACATGCTAAGGAGATCGCAGAATACGAGAGTCAGTTCTGTATTTGAAGATCTTTGTTTATCATATCATATCGATATCATGTATCATTACATCTTTTATTTATTTTTATTAATAATAAATATTATTTTTTTTTTTTTTAAAAAAAAAAATAAAATAAAATAAAAATAAAATAAGGAATTCCTGTTACCTTACTTTTTTAATTTTTTTTTTTTTTAAAAAAAAAAATAAAATAAAATAAAAATAAAATAAGGAATTCCTGTTACCTTACTTTTTTAATTTTTTTTTTTTTTTTTTTTTTGATATTAAAAGAATGAATCTAAACATTATATTGTATAAATGTAATTTTTTTTAAAAAAAAGGGGAAATTCTATGGTAATTATATAAATAAATAAAAAAAATTTCTAAATAAATGTTGATATTTTTTTCGCAAATCTAAAAATCAAAGTATTGTTTTATATTAATTGATGAAACAAATTATTAATTACGGGTTCAATTGATAACTAACCATCATTTAATCTCATCATCTTCATCAATGTAACTCTACAGATATTTGCACAGGTAAATAAAATTGACCTAATATTTCATCATTTTTCACGCATCTACCATATCTCTTTCCATATTTCTGTACCGTATTAACAAATATTGACTTATTAAAACAATTGAAAGTAAAATGATCTATAGATCCAGGACATATATCCAAAAATTCCTCCCATATCTCATGACTAAATCTTAAACCGTCTAATTCTAATCTTTGTAATGTGGATGGTAAAACATTTCCTAATTCACTTAGAGACCTTTTTACTTCAAATAATTTCCATTTTCTTGGTATTCTTAATTCAACAAGCTTTGTGCAAGATTTAAATAATGCGATTAATTGTTGCATTTCATAATCTCTTTCGATCGTAACACTTAATTTAAGTAAATTTGGACAACATGATCCAATAGTTTCCATAATATCAACGTATAATGATAAATTAACACTTAATCCTATTTCTATAAGTGAATCTTTGGAATTTTGAATTATATTCTTAATTTCAGTCGTAGGAGGATCTGGTACTGCTTCGGTATCAATTATAAAGGTTTGTAATTTTTCAAAACTAGCTTCCGCTAATGGTTTCATTAATTTTGTACTTAAATGTTGACATTGTGAAAGTTTTAATGTTTGTAAATTACGACATTCTGCTAAACCATAAAATAATTTTGTATAATCTTCATTTTTAGGAAATGTACACCTTATAAGTTCTATATGTCTTAAAGTTCTTGCTTGCCTTCTTAATGAAGATAAAATCTCGAGAGTATCCCCTGACCAATTTGTAAGTGTAAACTTTAATAACCTTCTTTGAGCGTTGATAAATTCCGTCAACATTTTAGGTGATGTATCAGCGGATTCGTGAATGGTAAGTACTTCAATGTCTTTACATATCCCAGCCATAGTATGTAAGATTTTGTCCTTTACGAATTGTCCCCCACATAAGAACTCTCGAAGTTCTGACAATGCGGTGCACGCTCCAGGATAACATGGCCAAGATAAACAATCCTCTTCACTATCTATGGGATTATACTCAAAATATTTCATGTCAACGCACAATGATAGTCGATCTAACCTTGCGTATCCCGTTGTAAAGATTTTCCCCAATTCGGTAACGATTCTATTTGCTAAAGCTATCTGTTTCTTTTTGAATTCTATACTTAATGGTTCATATAAAGTCTTACATCTCAACCACATCCTAACAGCCTTATAAACTTTCTTGAAATCTACATATCTTAAATAGGATAAATAATTCAAAGATGGTCTATTAGAAAGTAAATTTGATAATCCATTTGGTACTGATGTTAACAAAAATTTTTTAATTTCATCTGAAAAAAACAAGAAATACACGGTGACAAGGTCGGCAGATGCCATTATTGAAGAAATATCAAATGGCTGCCTCCATAAAATCAAGGCAGCACTCTCACACCACATTTTATTAACAAGAAGACATGAATGTAATGATTTTATATCATCTCCAACATAATTAAATATTTCACCTAAAGTTTCAGGTGGTAAAAAAGGATAGTTATGTACTTCTCTTGATTCTCTACGAATTACAGAAGTAATTTGATAATTATTTATATTATTATCCACCGTTCCTTTGAAATGTTGATCGGTCATTACGGATGACGTATTCGGTGGCTTATAACACAAAGCAAGCAGCAAAAAAAGATATCATTTGAATTATCGGGATTTTTACATTAAAAAAAAAATCAAAAATAAATAAGGAACGTACCACGTGCAAACTTGTCTCAAATAATAAACTGTTTGAAGATATTCTTCACTTTCTTGTTGAAACTAAGAATTTCCCGTTTAGCAAAGTGATGACAAATCTCTTCCTTGGATTTGAATTTGAAATGAATACAATATGGAAAACTATTATAGATGTAAAAAAATTTAAAAAAAAAATTGATCAATGTTCAATAATGAACATCCGATTAAAAAAAAAATTGTATGATAATAATAATGAAATTTAGATATTTTCCGCAATGGTAATGAATGTGTTTGAAGTCGGAATAAACAAAAAAAATTTTTTTTTTTCCTCCAAAAAAAAAAAAAATGAAATTGGCTTAATTGTTTAATACTGCGGAAAGAAAAAACAGGTTAAAACCAAGCAAATATTTTGACACTTTTGCTGCAAACATTATAAAAAAAAACCCCCAAAGATGGACATAACTCAGCCTTTTCCCATCTTGGATTACATGTGAAACAAATTAGACAAAATCAACTCAAATTTGGCCATGATGCTTATTCATGTGATTATAAATTGTGATGTCATTCAATGGTTGTGTAAGCTGTGTATATTATGTAATTTTATATAATAAAATGATGGTTTAATTATGCAATCCTTATAATGTGGTCGATCGGGAATAATTGTTTTTTTAATTGTTGGTTCCTACCAGATCGAGCAAGTCTTACGTTTTACTCAAACAATAGACTTAGTTTGTTGCATTGTAAACAACAAACAATATGTCGTCTTTGAAAACCTCAAACGAACAAACGCAGGGTCTTGCTCGAGTTGTTCAAAATGAAACGACGGCATTGTTACCTAGCATTGATAATGTTGATTCTCATGTCTCGTTAAATGAGGAACGCAGACTTAAATATACCCTGAACGAAGCTTTTTATATTCTTAAAAAATCCGTTCCAATCTTGTTGGCTTCGTTTTTACAGTACGCTTTTACAATTGCTAGTGTACTTACATTGGGTCACATTGTAAGATATCGATGACTTTATGTTGAGCTTTATAATCAATCTAATGATCTATCAAATATTTACATATCAGGGATCTGTTGAGTTGGCTGCTTTGGCGTTAGGCTCCATGGTAAGAAATTTTTTTTTAGTAATGCGGATTTTCTGTTTGTTTGTAAATAAGAATAGATTAGGAACTGATTTGCTTTTTTTTTTTTTAGTACGCTTCAGTAACTGGAATTTCCATATTTTATGGTGCAACTACAGCTTTAGACACCCTATGTCCACAGGGTTACACTTCTGGGAACCCAAAAATGGTTGGCGTGTATCTACAACGCGCTATCATTATTGTTATTCTTGGGTTTATCCCAATTGGTTTGATCTGGTGGGAATCTGGAGCAATTTTGGTTTTTTTAGGTCAAAATGAAGAATTGTCAGCATACGCGCAAACGTTTTTACGTTGGTCAATTTTGGGTGCTCCACCCATTTTCATTTTTTGGTGTGTTGAAAAATTTTTACAAGCACAAGGTTTGATTTATTTAAATTGATTCTTATTCACCACATTAGCATTTAATCACGCTAACACACACACACTCAAAAAAGGCATTATGCAAGCCACATCTTATGTTCTTATAATTGTTAGCCCAATAAACATTCTTTTAAATTACGGTCTTGTTTGGTGGGAGAAAATCGCTCTTGGGTTTATCGGTGCACCCATAGCTACAAATATTTCTAATTGGCTGATGCTAATTCTTAGTATTCTTTACATTAAATATATTGACGGTCATCAGGCTTGGGGTGGTTGGACTCGTGCATGCCTTTATGACTGGTCATCTTTCATGAGATTAGCAATTCCTGGAATTTTAACATCTTGCGCGGATTGGTGGATTTATGAACTAATAGCTCTTGCATCAGGATATTTCGGGAGTACGCAATTAGCAGCTCATCGTTTAGTTCTTACCATTGCGCTTTTGTTTTTTCAATTACCAAGAAGCATATCATTGGCAACTTCAAATAGAGTTGGTAATTTCCTGGGGGCAGGATTTTCTAAGAAAGCTAAAGTTACTGCCGAAATTTCTTTGCTTCTCGCGGTCATTGGTGCCATATGCAATGCTATGGGAATATTTATTTTCAGGGATTCATGGGGGTAAATGTTTAAGAAGGGAGATATCTTTATATCGATCGTCATAAGGTGACATTGATGTTGCATTATTACTTTTCTTCTTCTTTTATATCAATTATAATTAATATTTTTTTTTTTTGTTTTTTAACTTTTTTAACAAGTTACCTATTTACAAACGATGAGGAAGTTGTAAAGTTGACAGCTTCTGTTTTACCATTATGTGTACTTTTTCAAGTATGTATTGATTGATAGATGATTACAATTTATTAACAATGAGATAACAGTAAGATATATATAATTTTTTTTTTTACTAATAATAAAGCTATCAGATGGGATTGGTGCCATTGGTGGAGGAATACTAAGAGGACTAGGTTTTTTAAACTTTTTTTTTTGTTTATGATTTTACATTTTTCTAATTACAATATTTTTTGTTTAAAAAGGAAAGCAGAAGATTATTTCAATCATATATTTATCGGCATATTATATATTTGCATTACCAGTTGGACTTTTGTTAGCATTTAAATTTAATTTTGGATTGATCGGACTATGGTCTGGTGTTACTTTGGCATCTATTCTTATGGGAATTGGTATATTTTCTGTTGTAATAACAACTAATTGGGAGTGGGAAGTAGAGGAATGTAGAAAGAGGATAAGGTCGGATTTACTGGAAGAAGAGATTGTAGTCTGAATAATTTAATAATTTAAATTGAAAGAAATTACTAAAATCAAGTATTGAGAGGAGAAGTAATAGTTGATTTGAACAATAATACAATTTGCATCTATTAATTAATTAATAACTAATAACAATTATAATTAATTATCAAAGTTCATTTTAAATAATAGTAATAGTAATAATTATAATGGTTAATATAAATTAAATCTTTTATTAATTTTATTACTTTGAATATCTTAGTTTCTGAATTACATGATCTTTAGAATAACTTTTTTGCTTAGAAGCCCAATTAACAAACTTAGATACTCCTTCATGTTCTAATAATTTAACTACAGTGTTATATTCATAAGCCATTTGTTTATGAGAAATCATTTTATGGCAAGCAGAATGACAAGGTCTACAAATATATATACCATTCGTATTACATTGTTCTTTTGTGTACAACTTTTTTTTAATAACACGTTTATGCATCATTTTTGGAATTAAATGATGAAATGTTAAAGGCATGTGACGACGACACAATAAACATGTTCCTGGCTCATGAGCAATTTCTTCTTCCTCATCGTCTTCCTCCTCTTCCTCTTCCTCCTCATCTGTAGATTCATTGTTATTGCCTAAAAAAGAAATTGATGAATTTGGATTTATCGTGGACTTCCATTTTGACAAGATTGAAGTCGAAATTTCTATACATTCACGATCATTCTCACAAAATTCAAAAGTAATAAAGTCATTTTGCATCATTTCATTAATTTTATTAATGATTTCTTGTTCATTTAGTAAAGTGAAATATTCGTCATCTATCTTATTTTTAACCCGAGTTGAAGGGATGAATTGTTGTAACAAGTTTAATTCCCAAATCTTTCCAGCTAAATATTCTAAAAAATCTTGTTTTTCTTCTAAAATTAAATTTGGGTCATGATCACATAATACTTGATAAAATGTATTCCGAAACCTTGTTAAATACTTTTGTGAGAGATGATGAGATTTTGAAGGGTTTTTTTTAGTTGTAATACGGTTTTTTGGAAGTTTTGTTGTGAATGTTGCTTTCATTTTAATGTAATGTAATGAAAAGAAGTAACGACATGAGTCGTAGTAAATATCATACAACAACCAATTAATTTGTGTCATGGTGGAACAAACTTGGAAGAAGACATTAAAAACATTTCCATATGGACCGATTTGATTTTATCACCAACGTGACATTTTATGATAACTTGTGATGATAACCAATAAAAATTAAAATGTTTAAAATATATTATATTTATGTACAATATAATATTCTACTCCACATTTTAAGTATTTAAGAAGCATTTTAATGATAAGCATTTTTATCAGTAATAATATTAATCTAAATTAAAAATAAACATTAATTAATTAAAAACTATAATTATAATAATAAATTTATCATCATCAAAATTTGATAAAGATTAGACCATGTTTTGCAACTAACATGTTATATTTTTTTCAAGGCTTTTTTATACTTGATATAATGCTCAGGTGTTGCTTTTGCCAAAAAAAATTTATTTTATGAAAACTACTTTTGACTCATAAAAGAACTAAATACTACTATACCACAACATTATTTACTACTTCAGCCTTCTATTGAATAACTTATATCTTATCAGGATTAAAGATGATTCCCATAATTATTTTTAAAATTTTTAACTAGTTGCAACTTAAGTTGCAACACTTTGAGTTGCAACTATTTATGAATTTTTATATTAAAATAAATTTACAAGGAGTTGTAATCAAGTTGCAATTCAAGTTGCAACTTCTCAAATTGTAACTTCTTAATTATGATACCTATCTTTAATCAGGACATATTTATAATCCTTATTAAAAAGTGTCTTGGTTTCAATAGACATACTGTGAGATCTAAAAAATGAAATAGAGAAATTGAAAAGTGTTCCAGTATTTTCTTTTTATCAGAACCCATTAAAGAAGTCTAATCCTATTTTAACTTGAAAAAACTCAAAATAAATTTTAATGTTTTGCATTGTTTATTCAATCTTCAATTTAATTTTTTTTAAACTCTTTTTTTAATTATATTATTAAAAAAGTATTCTATCAAAATATTAACAATGCGCAAAAAATAAATGTAATTTATTAGGAATATAATTTTCTTGACTTATTGCAAGAAATAATACTAGTTTCTATTTTACCTAATTATCAGTAAAATATTCATAGCTTTAATTCATTAGTAATAAAATAATCATACAAAAAAAAATCATTAAATATTATAGGCATGATTTCCTGAATTTTTAAAATTTTGATTCATATCCCAACATAATTCAGATTGACAGTTATAATATAAACAAAAATACTTTAAATTAGAGGTATTCAATCCTATTATTATATATATAAACTTCTAGTCACTGAAAAAAAACAATTCTATTAGTCAATGATTTCTGTCTTTATCATATATTTTATTATTTTAAAGATAAAAAATAAACTGATGTTAAAATAACATTCCTATTTTAGCAAGATTATTATATTTTCTCATCTAACATAAAGACATATTAAAAAAAAAAATTAATTTAATTAACTTTTTGATTATTTAATTATAATAAATTTATTAACAATGCTGATATACTGGTTTTAAGAAAACTTCTTCTTCATTTAAAAAATAAATTACCCTCATCACATAATTTTACTTATAATCAATATTGTGATCATCTCCACTAAGCTTAAGTTTAAGTATATCATTAAAATTAATGATTGCAGAAGATTATTTTTTCAAATATATCTCATATAGTTCATATTTTAATTTTAACAAATTTGTTCAAATTTATCTTAAAATTATAATTTGAGTTTTGACAAATTTGTAATAATTTAAATAATAGTCAGATTTTTTGAATTTGTTGAATTACATAGATTTTTATAAAGTCATATTATAAGTTTTAATGATTTATACTTTTTTTGATATAGATATATAATATTATATTTTTAGTTGTAATCTGCAATTAAAATTTTAAAGTATGCAAGTATGCGTTATGTTTTTCTTATCTTTATAAAAAAGCTTACAAGTTATTTAAAAAACCAAAAAAAAATTTTATATCATTTATATTAACTTTTTTTAATATTATTAGAATGAAATGAAAATATACTAAAACCCACTTAATCAATAATAAATTTTATGATGCTGATATTGACAATTGCACAATATTTACAATATTTTATATATATGAACAAAAGATTATTCTTAATAATAATTATAATGAATCAAGACTTAACAAACATTCTAGAAATTCAAGATATAAAATAAATCAAAAATAACAACTTGGTTTATCTGGTTTATTTCCTGTCTTACCTAATATTAAAAAAAGTAAAAAAAGACGACTTATCACCACTATCATTACAGTCATCATCATAATCATCATCACTATTATCACTGGATAAATTATAGCCTAAATAATATTTTGAACAAATATCAATATATATTAATTGAACATCAGTTACATATGGAGGTATATGATGATGAGAAGTGATTAGAAAGAAAATGTTTCCAAATAAATTTTTAGATAAAAATCTATTTAACTCTAAAATATTCAGTAAGAAGGAATTGATCCAGTTTAACCAAAAAGTAATAATTGAATCAGAATGATTTATTGATAACTAATTATTAATCATAATTATTTAATTTAGTTAATTTATTCTATAAATAGAAATTTCTTTAATATATAGGGATATGTGTTCAATCAGTTAATTGTGAAAGAAAAGTTTACAGACAAACCTGTTTACTATGTTTGCTTATTTATCAAAACTTATCTTTCTTTAATCATATTAATATTGCAATTTCAGATTCAAATAATGTTAAATTTACACCAAAATTCTACTATAATAATAATTCATTGTTAACTTATTTGAAAAACTTATACAATTAAATGGATTTCTTGGTATTGAAAATGATTCATTTACAAAATTTTGAAAAGAACTTGCAAGTAAAATTACTCAAAATGCATTTGAGCAAAAACTGATATTCAAAGGATTTGTTATATTATGTTACAAGCAGTAAAATATGAAGAGTAAGGTAAAGATTTACAAAACCTTAAATATTCAGATAAATTATTAAATTTTCTTATAGTCTTAGAAAGTATTTCTATTTCATCTGCATTATCTATACCAAGGAAATGTCTTGGTCTAATACTATCATCACGAATTTTATATAAGTATTCACTGATATCTTCAGCTTTAAAACCTTGTTTATACAAGGCAAGGGTGTTAAAAAGGTCTGAAAACTCATGATGTTATATTACAAATATACAGTTTGAGAGAAACTATATACTTCAGAAGAAAAAATGAAAAATGAAAATTAATTCTGAAATATATAAATAGATATATAAACCAGCTATATATAATTATCAAAAAATAGCATTTTATCAATGTTCATATATTCTTAAAACTGGAGAAGTTTGCAATCAGGAATGCTATCGATCGAAAGATGCTAAATTCATTAAAATTCTCACGTATACCTTATAATGAATGCAATAAATTAATCTTTTTCAAACAGTACTATTGGAAAAAGCTGGCTGGCTTAGCTTCGATACAGGAACTAGTAACCCAAACATTTGCTGTCCCAGCTATATATCTTATTTATCCTATCAATGTTCTATCAGTGTCCTATTAGTATCCTAATTATGTTTCATAACAACACTGACTAAATTGGCTAAATGGTAATTTTAAGCCAAATTAAAGAAAATTTGATTACCTGTCCTAGTCATCTTAGTTATCCTAATAAAATGTGAAATTCTTTACTTTATTTTTTATTTTTACCTATAAGCATACTAGCATATATATCATATATTATATATATAGCAATATATACCATAGGAAAAGTTTCAAAAATTTTCCAAGAACTTTATTTTTTACTAAAACAACTAGAACAACTAGGATATAATATAAAAGAATAAGTTAAAATGAAAAAAAGCTTTTCTTTCATATTAAAACCCGTTCTAGTTCCTGTCCTAATTTATTAAGATATCCATTTACTAGGATGGATTTTCTCGAATTTGTAATGAAATATTTTTACAAGTAATTAACCAATTCATCTCATATTCAGCATATATATCTTTCAATAATATACATATAAAATATCACTTGACATAGAGCCTTCTGGGATCAATATCATATGATTCTCCTAACAATATGTGTATGAAATACCACTTGATACAGAGCCCTTTAGAATTACTATCATATGATTCTTTTAATAATATATGCGTAGAGTATCACAAAACTTTAGGCGTAGTAAATTAATAATATATGCACAAAGAATTAACTGTTATTGAGCCTTCTGAGAGCACTATTAAATGACTCTCTTAACAATATATGTATTTTTTTTGCAATACTCATTTAAAAAAAAAAGGCGTAGTAAATCAACAATAATTTTGGCCAGCACTATTCCATAACTTCAGTCAGAACTTTGGATATAATAATTTGATACCTAAGCTGACATAAAACTGGCAAACTAATAAAACATCTCTAACTTCTTACAAGATCTATAACAGTTTCCCACCAGTTTCATGACAGCTCCACAGTAGTTTCAGGTTACTACCAAGTCACCATCATAACTTTAAGCAGGAGTCTCAAATCATGTACTTTAAAGATCAGTCAGAATTATAGCATAATATCAGTTGAAATTAATCACAGATCTACTGCATCACTTAACACAATTTTTTTTATCATAATTTGGCATTTTAACAGGCAACCAAATAGGTGATAAAAGGTAAGTGTCTCAATATTAAATCTAGTACTCAATCAGGCGCAGAAGGCCAATATCCTCATTATAAAACTAGGTATCCAAATAGCTACAAAAGACTAATAATCATAATATAGAAATTGGTATGCAAAAGATTCAGAACAAGGAAAAGCATGATATTTAGATCATATAGTGGTAGTTAGATTAAATAATGGGTAGTAGTTAGATTATATGGTAATAAAAAAATATAAATAATAGGAAAGATTAAAAGGGATATCTAGAACATAAAATAGATATCTGATATAAAAAAAAAAGTAGATTATATAGAGACTTTGCAATAGAAAGGGGGGAAACT